GGTGATATTCCAACTCCAAATCAATTGGGTATTTTTAAAGCTGGTAATAAATTGCAAGTCACAACTCTACTTAAACTTAAAGAATCTTTATCTGTTCAATTATCTTTTTTGTTATATATACATTTTGATCGAAAAGGTGTGGCACCATATGATTATATGATTAAAAAAGTGGAACACATGGTCATCGCCCTTCATTCATTTTGGTATATTGACCTCGCCCTTCATTCATTTTGGTATATACGAGCTATTGGCTAGGTTTGTTTTATTAAAAATTATTATTTTCAATACCAATGATTTGTATATGTGATGAGTGCGTTGATCCATTTTATTGTTTATTTTTCCAAGTTATGTATTGCATTTAGGCACTACTTGGATACCAATATTTTACCCAAACTGCAGCTACAAACAAAATTACCAAGTTCTCACTCAGCAAGGTGGAACAGTAGAGCAATGTAGGTCTTGTTAAACTACTTTCTAATTCCTGAAGAACGACGGTTAATGAAAGAATAGCGAAGTTTATTAGCTGTTCTTGGTCACTTGCATGGTTTAAAAAGAGAGAGGAACCCAACTCGGAAAACTTAAAAGAAACTACATCAAGCTGCATTAAAGCCCAAGCAGCTCTGACAAGATATATTCTTGGTGTTAAAATCTCATTCAAGAATTTACATAGAACAAATGAGGTAGCTGAAAGAGAACTCCAAGCTATGGACATCCGATGATGCCGGGCTAAGTCTGATGATGTTCTTGAGAGACTTTTTTAACAGAAATGTTTATACAAATGTCGAATATAAAACAACTCAACTTTATAAAATTTGTCGTATTTCTATAACTTATGTATAAAATAAAAAAGAGTAACAAAAAAAATGAATAATTTTGTCTTTATTCCATAAAGTAACTTTTTTTTTGACCTTGTAAAATTTTCAAATTTTTAATTATTTTTTATTTAGTTTCTCTTAGAATAAAATTATTCATGTTTTAGAAAAGGTTTGTATGCAAACAAAAAAATAGAATCACACTCGCAATCATCCTATTCAAATAAGTATATAATCAAATTAAGCTAATAAAATCAGGTAATAAAATAATAATAAATAAAAAAATAATAAATAATAAAGCTAATAAAATCTAATTATAACAGTAACAAAATAATAATCGTAAAAATAATAATGATAATGACAATAATAACAATGAAAATAAAAATATTATTAATAATAATAATAAATGGCAATATTGCCAACAAGTATTAACATATATTAACAAGTATTAACATATATATATATATATATATATATATATATATATATATATATATATATATATATATATATATATATATATATATATATATATATATATATATATATATATACATATATATATTATGTCAAATTATGTATAACAAAATGTTAAAAAGTAATAATAAATAAATAAATAGTAAAAGTAGTAGTGTTGCGAAGGTAAAATTTACCGTAAATTTACCGCGTGGTAAATTTTCTTTACTTATTTTTTTTTTTTTTTTTTTTTTTAATTTTTCAGGAAAAGTTTACCCTCTCCGATTTAAAAATTATGGGTAAATTTTCAGGTAATTTTAATGGAAAATTTTGAATCAAATTTTATCGGAAAATTTTACATAACTAAAATTTATTTTTTATTTACACTACTATTTCTAAATAGTGTAAATAAAATATTCTAAATATTCTAAATAGTGTAAATAAAAAATAACAGTTATAATAAAAAGTAAAAATAAAAAGCGATTGAAAATAATAGTAATAATTCCAACCAAATAATTGTATATGAAACTTAAACAAAACAAAAACATGATTTTAGAAGGGACAACAAATTTTTATTTATATAAAAAAAATTTATTATTTAATTTATATAACTTTTAAACTATTAGTTGTTTTCTCTTGCATTAAGTTTAGTGCTACGACTTTTATGTGCATTCTCACGTGAATTTCTTTGTACAGATATCTTAATGGAATTATACTGTGTACCAATCATTGGTAATAATTAGAGAGTATTATGCAAATAGCAAATGATGTCGTAAGGGAATTATTTGATTAGCATTCTTTTAAACTTTTGTAACGAATAATTGAACGAATTGTGAATATCATTTTTATTGACCAAGCTTTTATAAGAACTGAATATTCGGACAACTTCGTAGCCGAAGTTAACCAAATTTTTGGTGTTTGGCTTGGTTAAATATTGATACGCGAAGTTAAACAAATTTTTTTTATGAATCAAGATTTTAACAACGTTTTTTTCAGCACGACTAATTTATAGGTAATTCTAATCAAGATATAAATTAAAGACCACAACATAAGAAATATATATTTTAATAAACCTATCATTTTTGTTTAAATAAAAATTTTCGTCCTTCTCGTTATTTTGGCAACAATGCGGTTTAACATGCTAGTGGTAGAGCGCTTCGTAAGCATGAGTTTGATGACCACAATGTTGTTGGCCCTATCGTGCTTAACTTGTTGTTTGATATTGACTAACAAAAGTTATTTTAACTGATCGTTAAATATTAGCCGGATTTATAACGCAACTATATTTTTTTACCTTTCCGTGTAGATTAGCGTTATTTTCTTATTATTTTGCGCATGTGTTCAAACTTAGATCTCGTGATTATATAAGAGAAAAAAAAGTTTAACATCTACTAATTACCAATTACTGGTTAACTAATTGAAACTAACATCTACTGAATACTATTTACCATTTACTAAATTATCCTTCTTCAAATCCTCCGATTTCGACTTCTCGTCTTAATCCGAGTCTTTATCTTCAAAAACAACTCTAACTAACAACACTAACAACCATACTGATTTTACAAATATACTACCCCAGAATCAACATCTTAAAAATTGTACCGAAAAATATATCAAAAACAAATATTTCAAAAGTTGAAAAATGAAATGAAAAAATGAAAAAATATATTAAAAAAAAAAAGAAAGTCGCATTAGATGGAAATGTACTTATGTATCTATTTATTTATTTGACTTCTTTTTTTTTTCGTGCTGGTAATTTGAACCTTTTCACTTAATCGTTTTTTATATTTTTATTTGTTGTTTTTTTTGTTTTCTTTGTTCTTAAGACTTTTTTTTTATGTATGATATTTTTATGATGTATGAAAATGGTATCTGTGAGTCAATTATTCAAAACTCAAGCAATCACAATGACCTTCTAAACACACCTTTATCTGTCTTTTTATTTCTATTAGAAAAATCTTTGAATTTCTTAATAGTAAACTTCTAATATCTTATTGACCCAAAACCCTCTCGTTATTTTACTGATATTATTAACCGTTACAACAGAAAGGTTTTATTATCTATAAGATGATAATGGTAAGGCAATGGCATTTACCTCTGACATATCAAAGGAATTTAATAAATCTGGCAAGATTGTCTTTTTGTTCAACTCGCTTTACATAGCCAATTCGGGATTCACTTTATTAAGCAAGTTTATGTTAAGCTTTTAAAATTATTGAATCTTTTTTTCTAACCGCTATTTTAAAGTCTTTTTAATTGGGCAACACTCTCTTTTATTTCCAATAACATCTATGATTCTAAAAAGTTTGAGACTTGGTATTGTGATGTTCTTCATCTGTTTGATCTTCTTGATAACCTTATCTTTGTTTTCCAATAAAATAACTACGCAATCCATTCTTGACAAAAAAAGTCCTCACACTTGATCGTTTAGAAAAGACAGATGGTCTTGAATGTGAAAGATTGTGATCACTTTTGCGTTGCAACTTGGTACTTACAGCGGTTAGTGAATTTCAAATCAAACAAAATTCAATTATTTGCTGCTACTTATTGCAGTGTTGTTGATATTACTATATTGATGAATGACAACACTCTTGCTGAATCCTCTACTTTGCGTTTTCTTGTGTTATTATTCACTATTAAGCTTTCTTTAAAACCATTTATACAATTGATTGTCAATTTAGCATTTTGTAAGGTTCTCTCGTTATTGTGTTTCTCATTATCTTACTCCTGATTCAATTCTCTACCTCTATATGTCTATTATTCTTGTTTGAATGGAACACTCTGGTCATATTTGGGCTGGTTTTTCTAATTTTGCACACTCTCTTTTAGACATAGTCTAAATTTGAATTCTAAATGTTTTCAAGTTGGAATGTTGCATCGTTTTCTCTTTCCTACTAATACTAATATTTTTGATGAAGAAATTAAAAAAAAAAGAGCAGCCGTGGCGCAGTGGTTGTGCACTTGCCTCAGAAACAAATGATCCGTGGTTCAAACCCCACCTGTGGGCAAGTTTTTCGACATTGGTTAGGAAGGAGGCGTAAACTTCCAATTGAATTCTCATTCGCGGTGCTCTGTGATAAGACCGTAAGGACTTCTTGGGGTTCCTAAAATAAAAAAATTAAAAAAAAAAAAAGTTCATAGTCAAAAATTTTTTAAATTAAGTGTTATTTACAGGCCCGTAGCAACTGGGCGGGAGCAGGAGGGGCATTTTCCCCCTAATAATTATTCAAATAAATAATTTGAAAAAAAATTGACTGAAAAAATTAATTTAAAACTATTTTGGAATCCTCTAATCCAGCAATGCCCCCCCCCCCCAATTTAGTTTTTGTTCCTACAGTCCTGATTTAATTATATAGAACTTTTAAGGGGTATGGTTTTTTAGATTTGAAAAAAACTTTTTTTTTTAATAAATTATTTATATTTTTGAAATATTTTTTATAACTATTTATGTTCAGAGTTTTTTAAATGTGGGTAAGGCATTTAAATACTAAAAAGACAATTACATGCAATCCTTTAGTAAATTATATAAAAAAGTTGTATTATTCTTAGAGATTAAGAAATAATATTTAAGTTTTAAACCAATAAATAAAATTTTTTCTTAGATTTTATTTTTAACTATTTCCTAAAGTCAATCTTAACGTATGATTATTCCAGAAAGAATTCATCTGACAGGACAGTTTCCGCAACAATCTGTAAGACATCCGGAGTCGTACGCATGCGGTTTATGGACAAGGTATTTACATAAATTATTGCTTCATTAAAAAGTAGAGGCTACGAACAAGTTACATACAAGCCTGATTTTTAGTATGCAAATTAGTTTATTTCTTGTCGCATATATGTTGTTAATAAGATGAGGTTCAACGCCTTATTTGAAAAATTTGAACTATGTCGAGACTAGCTGATTATTTTTGTGTAGTTGGCGTTGAAGATGTTTCTGATAACTTGATAAGTGAGTACTAATTTAAAGATAATTACGTTTTATGTATAATATTATTGGTTATTAGTGAAAGAAAATAATTTTCATTCACTATGTCATTAAAAAAGCATATTAATTAAATAATTTTGTAATAAAAGTTTTCAAATCCAATTCAAAAAGTCATTAATATAAATAAATATATATTTATTATAGCTAGAAAAATATATTTATTATAGCTAGAATGTATACATACATATATATATATATATATATATATATATATATATATATATATATATATATATATATATATATATATATATATATATATATATATATATATATATATATATATATATATATATACATATAAATATATATATATATATATAAATATAAATATATATATATATATATATATATATATATATATATATATATACATATAAATATATATATATATATATATATATATATAAATATATATATATAAATATATATATATATATATATATATGCATATACAGTGCTCAAAGTGAGGCTAGATGCGGCGAAATGCCATCCCATCATCTTTTTATAAGTTATAAACCATCCCGCCACCATTTTAAAAATCTCTCTATATAAGAATGATTAGACAGGATGGATATTTTTAATTTACCAAATACCATCCCATTACTTTTTTTCCACTTCGAGCTCTGTATATATGTGTTTGTATATATATATATATATATATATATATATATATATATATATATATATATATATATATATATATATATATATATATATATTATATATATATATGTATATATATAAAAGCTTGGTCAGGAAGCAGGTGCGATCACACTCTATTTCTGTTCACACAAATTTCATTTAGTTGCAACAACTTGGTTGCAGTATTTTTAGATGTTTTAAGAACATGTAAATTGTTGTATATTTATATGTATGTCTAAAACTATTTGACACACTAAAACAATTAAATTCATAAATTTTTTTTTATATAATGTTATAATATTAGCAAAGCACTTTTAATCTTAGTGATGATTTACTTTTATTGAGTGTTTATAAAAATAAAATTTTAAATTTAATTTCTTAAATTATATAAAGTTAAATAAAATTAATTATAATAAATAATTATATAGGTAATAATATAGATTAGTTTTTATTCTTTAAATGTAAGTCTTTTGAAAATGCTTGCGCAATTGATTTAAAAATAAGACTTTCAACAACAACTGTATTTTCAATAAAATTTAAAAAGTAGTAATCATCAAAGCTAATACAATTAATAATCAAATAAATATACAGGAACTTACAGGAGACTGAGTATAAACATACATATATAAAAAGTGAATTATGAGTAGATGACCACCAGATTAGTGATTTGAGTGAAACACAAACATACATTGGTGCTGGTTAAAATGGATGCTACAAGTGCCCCTAATTTAATGGTACTTATGGTACCTATTTCTAGCAAACATTTACATATAAAGTTCAATGCTATAACCTTCAATGCATATTTTGATGTCAAATTTTTTGTAGAAATCAAATAAGCAGGAAATCTAATAATTCTAGTCAAAAATCATAATTTACAACTCCACTGCACAATCAGGTCAAAAAATTTCATTTAAAATTTGAAAAGCAAAGAAAAAATATGATTTTAACTTTTAACTTTTTTAACACCACAACATTGTTTTAAAAATAGCATGTTAATTGTAGAGAAAAGATGTGAAATGTCTATCAAATTAGACAGTTTCTTTTTTATTTCACATTTATGGTTAATTTCAATTAATCAAATAATTTCAATTTTACACAATCTTAAATATGAAAGAGAAATTGTGAACTATTTACCTCAGCATCATTTTTTATTAAATCGTATGGGCAATTTATCGAACGCTTCACCGGAAACTGTTGTTACTTCAAAAACTGTCAATCAATTAAAGAATAGATTAGATGAGTATAACGCCAAATCAAAGAAGTTTTAACTAATCATTTTTAATATATATATGGATTAATGCTGTCAAAGTGTGATAAACCACACTCGCTGGATTCATCCAGTTACAGTTTAACTACTAACTAACTAACTAACTAACTAACTAATTAAAAGTAATCATAAAATGATATAAGATATTAAATAATAAGAAGTCAAATACAGAAAAAATACAGAAAAAATAGTTTTAATGATTGCCTTAGGTAACAAATTAATTAGTATTACTAATACTAAATAATTTTTTGATAATATCCTGAAAAAAGAACTAACCTTTAAATTATTAGCACTACCATTTTCTTCTGCATTCTCAAAGAGATATTTTTTAAATATAAAAATATTTGCAAGAAAAAGGGATCAAGTATATGTTATGTTAACACAGATAAATGCTATTGTTAATACATAGTAAATCAAATAAGTTCATCGATGAGTGATAAAATCTGAGTTTCTTGTGCAAAAATTATTGGGGGGGGGGGGCAAATGCCCCTGCTACCCACCCGGTTGCTACAGGTCTGCTTAGTAATAGTTATTCTTGACTAAACTTTATAAATACAAAATTAATTTTATGCTTGAAGGGTAAAGAATAAAATTATTTTGTTAATAATAATATTAAATAAAATTAATGCTTTTTTTAAAAGTGCAAACAGGCAATTGATAATTTTTAATTTATTTTAAAATAATTCATTTCATTGCAATGACTTTGCAAATGGTAGGAAAGCTACACAAAAAATAATAGAAAAGATTAAATGAAAAAAAGTACAGTTGAGATTATGTTTTAATTAAGTATAATAATTTCAAATAATAATGAAATAAATCTCTCAAGTTAAAGAAGAAAAACTTTAGCACGTTATATCTCATTTCAAAAACCGCTAATGTTAATTAGTTAATAATGATGTTACTAAATCTTGTTTGCAGATCTATTTAAACTGAATATTTGATACTTTAATTGTTTTAAACATTCATCTCCCTAATATTAAACAATTTGTTTAATAAAACAATTTTTAAAAACTAAAGTTATAAAATCAAATTTTAAAACATTAAACAATTTGCTTGATGAAACACTATAAAAATTATTAAATTTACACAAAACGAGATTTTTAATAAATATGTATATATTTTTTTTAAATAATCCTGTTATAAAATAAAAGCACAAACGCTCAATCAGTAATTTTTAATGTATCTATAAACCATTTATTCATTTATTTACAATTTGTGGCAAAACTTACAAGAAAATAAAAAAAAAGATTTAGAGAAAAATAAAACAAATTGACTAAATGCATATGAATGAAAAAACATTCATAGTTAAATACATAGTTTATTATTATTATAATTATAGTTTATTATATTATTAATAAAATAATTTATGAAAATTATAGTTTATTATATTATTAATAAAATAATTAATAAAATTTTTATATTAAAAAAGTAATAAAATAAGAACTTCAATCATATAAGAAAAAAGGATTTTCGTCATTGGTAAAACAAAATTAATTTAATTAAGTGAAGCAAAAAACTTAATGATTATAATTTACGTTGTTACGTTTATGTTATACACGTTACAAGCAATTCTTTCATCAACAAAGCGAATTAATCAATGAGTTCAGGGTGGTTAAAGCAGAAAAATCACTGGTTTCTATTAATATGCAATAATTATTAGATAAAAGTTTTAACAACGATAAATTTAATATTTACTCAAATATATTATAAGTAGTAGAATTAATAATATAAAACTAGCTGGGGTGACCCGTAAAATACGGGTCTTTACCGAACCGACCATTTTTATACTTATCTATAGCTATCCGGACGTAAACTAAGGGTCTTAGTAAATCTATTCTACACCGACCTTTTCTATACTTATTCCTTACCTCAATATTTTTTTAAAACCGTTTAAAAATGTACATATAAAAAACTATACTTACTTTTTGATATGACAAAAACATTTCTGTTAAAATGTTCTTTTAAAAACTTCAAACGATTTTAATATTATGCCGATTATAAAAATTTTAATAAGAAAAAACGTAAAAAAGACTACGAACTTAGAAAAATGCTAAAACATTCAACACGTGACGCCGTTAAAGTACGCCTTAGTTAACGTTCATAACATATACACATCTAATTAGATTTTATTTAAACTCAGTTGTTGCAAACTTGGTTTTGAATTTTTAATTACACTTCTTATGCGTCATAAATAATCTTAAATTTAAATAGAAAATACGTTTATGGGCTAATTGGTAGACGCGCAACACTTAGACATTTATAGTCATCTTACCCCGGGAGTTCATACTCCAGTGACTTTTTTTTTTCATCCCAACTTACAACAAAAGTAATTAAAAATAAATGTTATCATTGAAACAGTTTTAAACATTTCTTCCTATTTATCTTTGAACTTAACTTTATTCACTGCAAACATACTTTTGGTGTTTGTAAGCGTTATTTTACGTTTAGTATTTGTAGGAATTATTTGCACGCACGTATTTTAAACAATTATTTTTACTGTTTCATCTAAAAATCTTATTTAATTTAGTTTAATAATTTCTTAAATATAATATATATAATATAATTTAAAATATTTTATTAACCCTATTTAAATAAGTATCAAAACTCTTTCCTTTAATTTAAAAAGAATTTAAAATTAACGTAGGCTATAACGATATTTTACCCTTTCATCAACATTTATTTAAAAAGTAAATTTGGATATAGAAAAACGGGTTAAAGACTTATTATTTTAAATAAGTTAGCTTTATCTATTTAATGCTTTTCGTAAAAGCGTTTCTTTAAAGACTCTTAACAAATCATTCAAGCTGTTTTTACTGCCTAAGTTATTAAACCTGTTGTGTGTGCCAAAAATCGATACTTAATGCAAATGAAAACTTCGAGTGCTAATGGTGATTAAAGCATAAATGGTTCCTATTCATATATAATAAAAGGAAATATGAAAGACAAAGCAAAAATGATTTTTATATCCATTTAAACCAATAAATCCCAAAATAAAAAAATATAGATATTTACTTAAAAACATATTTTTCTTGATATAAAATAAAAATAAAACCTTTAGTACAAATTACAAAAAAAAAATTTATTCAACAGAGCTACTTATAATACAATTTAAATTGAATCATTGTTTCATAAATATTAAGCTTTAGGTAAGCCATAATCAAGTCAGCTATAAGAAACGGAACTAAAAATGGAACAAAGTTATTTAAACGCATAATCATAATCATACACATTAATTACAAATTAACATGTTATGCAATCAATACTTTTGAAAACTCAAAAATGCAAATAAGAAACTTACTTTTTTATTTTTACATAACCCTGACAGACCAACATGAATGTGAGCTAAATCTATTTGCATAAAACATCACAACAATTAATTAAATAGCAGAACCACCTCCAAAGGACAAAAAAATTAGTTTTTTAAGGAAAATTAGAGTTATTGGGAGGGGAGGTATTAATAAATAAAAAAGCTCAACTTGAATTTAAAAATTAGTTCATAATTTTGTTGAGGGTTATTGAGTTATTCTGAGTTTATTATACATATTTTAAACTACTGACACCACACACTTATATTCTTAGTTCTGGAAGGTGCTAGATAGAATTTGATTGTGTGAAAACCAAATCCCTTTGAGATTAACATTAACTTTATCAAATGTATGACCGTGACTTTTATTTCTAGTTAATGAGCATTGTTGATAAAGGTGTCTTTATTTAAATGATTTACTTTGATAACATTTAACATTCATGGGAAAAATAAAAAACAACACAAAAATAAATTTACAAAAATATATTACAAAAAAAAAAATGAAGTGGCTCAAAAGTTGTCAATTTCTTTACATTTTAATATGTAAAAAAATTATTGACAACTTTTGCGCCACGTTGTCTTCTCCTCCCAGCATCCGCTCTACTCCCCGTGTTGTATGGGGTGCCATCCCTCCATCTAAAGGAGGGATGGTCGTCCCCATACAAACACCAGCGATGGAAGGCCCTCATAGATAGAGGGCCTGGATGCTGGGAGCGATACTTTCTGAATTCTTCCCATGACTTCGAGCCTGAAAAAAAAATTATATATAAATACAACTATGTACCAAGGTAATACTTACAAAAAATCTACTGTAAAAAAACAATAAAAGCAAATAATGTAATAAATTAAGTACAAGTGAGCACAACAACTTATTTATTTTACTCACTAATACTTGACTTATTACATTAACTAATTAAACTGGAAAGCACATTTGTAGCTATATTAAAAAACAAAAGGTACAATAAAAGCAATCAATCAATGTAATAAGTCAAGTAAAGGTGAATATAACAACTTACTTGTAACAGAAGAAGCAGCAGCTAGAGATAAATAAAAGAAAATTAAAAATGCAATAAAACCAATTAATCCATAAATTAAGTCAAGTATAAGTGAATAGAACAACTTACTTGTAACAGAAGAAGCAGCAGCTAGAGATAAATAAAAGAAAATTAAAAATGCAATAAAAACAATCAATCAATGTAATAAGTTAAGTAAAAGTGACTTACTTGTAACAGAAGAAGCAGCAGCTAGAGATAAATAAAAGAAAATTAAAAATGCAATAAAACCAATTAATCCATAAATTAAGTCAAGTATAAGTGAATAGAACAACTTACTTGTAACAGAAGAAGCAGCAGCTAGAGATAAATAAAAGAAAATTAAAAATGCAATAAAAACAATCAATCAATGTAATAAGTTAAGTAAAAGTGACTTACTTATAACAGAAGAAGCAGCTAGAGATAAATAAAAGAAAGTTAAAAATGCAATAAAACCAATTAATCCAATTTAAGTCAAGTATAAGTGAATAGAACAACTTACTTGTAACAGAAGAAGCAGCAGCTAGAGATAAATAAAAGAAAGTTAAAAATGCAATAAAACCAATTAATCCAATTTAAGTCAAGTATAAGTGAATAGAACAACTTACTTGTAACAGAAGAAGCAGCAGCTAGAGATAAATAAAAGAAAATTAAAAATGCAATAAAACCAATTAATCCATAAATTAAGTCAAGTATAAGTGAATAGAACAACTTACTTGTAACAGAAGAAGCAGCAGCTAGAGATAAATAAAAGAAAGTTAAAAATGCAACAAAACCAATTAATCCATAAATTAAGTCAAGTATAAGTGAATAGAACAACATACTTGTAACAGAAGAAGCAGCAGCTAGAGATAAATAAAAGAAAGTTAAAAATGCAACAAAACCAATTAATCCATAAATTAAGTCAAGTATAAGTGAATAGAACAACTTACTTGTAACAGAAGAAGCAGCAGCAAGAGATAAATAAAAGAAAATTAAAAATGCAATAAAACCAATTAATCCATAAATTAAGTCAAGTATAAGTGAATAGAACAACTTACTTGTAACAGAAGAAGCAGCAGCTAGAGATAAATAAAAGAAAGTTAAAAATGCAATAAAACCAATTAATCCAATTTAAGTCAAGTATAAGTGAATAGAACAACTTACTTGTAACAGAAGAAGCAGCAGCTAGAGATAAATAAAAGAAAATTAAAAATGCAATAAAACCAATTAATCCATAAATTAAGTCAAGTATAAGTGAATAGAACAACTTACTTGTAACAGAAGAAGCAGCAGCTAGAGATAAATAAGAGAAAATTAAAAATGCAATAAAACCAATTAATCCATAAATTAAGTCAAGTATAAGTGAATAGAACAACTTACTTGTAACAGAAGAAGCAGCAGCTAGAGATAAATAAAAGAAAATTAAAAATGCAATAAAACCAATTAATCCATAAATTAAGTCAAGTATAAGTGAATAGAACAACTTACTTGTAACAGAAGAAGCAGCAGCTAGAAATAAATAAAAGAAAATTAAAAATGCAATAAAACCAATTAATCCATAAATTAAGTCAAGTATAAGTGAGTACAACAACATACGTTACTGAGGAAGTTGGATTTGTCACTATATAAGTGATTACATTATATTATTTATTAAAACTTTTATGAGACATAAAACATAATATAGTTACTTACAAATGTAGTTTAAAATGATATCTAAAAAAATTGACCAAAAAGTACAAAGTCCAAAACTAATCTCAAATTGAAAAAACGCATTTAATATTAGATGTACATAAATAATTAGGGTGTATAATAAACATAAAAGCAATTTTACTCACCTATGGACTTATGTAAATCTTCTAATTTTTCTAAATAGATGAACAAATTACTAAAGCCAACCTCATTATTTTTTATTTAATATACATAAAAGTAATATAATGAAATTTTGCTTACTAACTCTACTTTCTAAATTGTCTAAATAAACAAAATGTATGAAAGATTAGTTCATAAATTTATTTACTGTAACATAAACTTCGAAAAAACTGAAGTAAAAAAGAAAAAATAGAAAATGCTAACTTTGATTATCTAAGAATTCTTTCAAATAAGGCAGAAAAGACTCTGTCTCTTCTGCCACTATCTCCTGCGCATCTAAGATATACACACAATACAATATATACATTTAGCATATCATATGATAAAGCACTACATCTAGTCTAGAAAATATAATAATCACAACATCTGGTCTAGAAAATAAATTCCAAGTTTCTAGTTGAAAAACACATAAAGATTTTTTTCTTATTTCAAGATTTGAATTTTACATATAATAATGAAATTTCACTATTAAATAGCTGCGTGTATATAACTATATAACTATTACCAACAATCAAATTACTATTAGTATACAAATATTTGATAAAAAATATGCTACTGATTTCTCCATACTTGAAATAAATTTTTTATAACTATCACTTTATATAAATAAAAATTGTTTACTTCTAAAGAAATTATAGTTTACTTACTTCTAAAAAAGTCACCATCATCGTCTAAAAAGAGAATTACTTGATATTTTTATTTATTTCCAATAAATAAAATATGATAGCAGTGCTTATTTTGTCTATCAGTTAACCCAACACTGTTTATAAGAGTGTAAATTGTTTGTCTATTTATATTTATATATTTATATATGCGTACTAAATAAAGTATAGCGTTTGTGCTGTATACGCATATATTAGATATATATAGATATATAGATATAATATCTAATATAAGCGCATATAGCACTAACACACATATGCAATAAATACATACCGTTTAAATTTTCTTGTGTGTTCATTTCTAAAATAAAAAGTAAATATTTATTCTCAATTCTTACACATATTCTTAAGTCTAATTTAACTTAAAATCATAAAAACTTAATTTGAAGATTTTAGATATTCAAAACAGTAACTCACTCAGATTCTAAAACTATAAGAGAGCTATAATGAGCGCGTGGCTGTCTTTTGAGTTGTTTAAGCATCCAGTTGGCTTGCAAAATGTAATCTTTAATCGCTTATATTTCTTTAGATTTTAAAATACGCTGTTCGAAAATCGGATTTGGAGTATTTATAATTAAGAGAATTATGTAATTTATGCAAACAAAAAGAAGGGGAAATTCAAGGGTTGCAAGACGTCCGGCTTTTATGAAGAAGAAAGCAGTAAAAGAACTGAACTGTATATGTTTGGGACTATATTCTACTCTGTAAAAGCCGGTCATTTGGCAAACCTAAGTAAAAATGATGTTACACATTACAAAGAGACAATATAGTGAAAGCAATATCAGCATTTCCATGTATATCAGGAAATTAGAATCCTGTGTTTAAGCGAGTCATTGTGCGATAGTTCTTTTCAAGTTGTTTTTGCTGCTTTTTGAAACTTAAATTACAATTATAAAATAAAATGAAAAAAAGACATCAAATATAAATACTGGAAAGTTTTCATACTGTTTTAATAGACCAATAGAATAATTTATCGATGAAAACAAAGTTTCTTAGACCCGCAGTACTCCTACAACACCACACTAAAACAGTTTCTCTACCACACATAACATTTTCTACTATTCCTAACATAGTTGTTATTGGTGACTAAAATTAGAAGAGCATAAGATTTTTTTTTTACTTAACAAAATAAGAGTTATAGATTTTTCTATAACTCTAACTAAAATGCTACAAAAGAACTCGGTTTCCTGTAAAACGTTTTTCGAAAATAAATAGAAAAAGCTTTGTTTTTTATTGTGGTGTTAAATCGAATGAAACAATAATTGTTTATGGATTAAGTAATAAAGGTCCGGTAACTTTATTTATCTAAGACAATTCGTAATTTATTTTTCTGCCATACACTAAAAAATATCGAAGTAAATGGTTGGTGTGAATTAAGTTTTTATGATGCCTAAGTATGCGCAATTTTTCCACATACTTTTGGTTTATTAGAATCTTATATTTATATCATATGCCAATATTTTGTTGATTCGAAACAAAAACTTTGAATTGAAGATTTTTAAGGTATTTTAAAGAAATAACGCCATCTAACGTAGTGATGAGCAGATTCGAAAATTACGTGGACCTAACAAAAGTGTATTTAACATAGTTACCAATTACGTGACATTTCTCCCAGTGTTTTGGCAAACTTTTTTATAAAATTTAACCTTTCCTATTTAAAAAGGAGAAGTATTTGACAAAGAATCAGGTGACGAATCCTAATTATGTCAAAAATTAGCTCTATTTGTTTGAAAAGCAAATTTTCTACAATAAACTCGCAACAAATTTTTCTAAATGTTTATAAATTAGCAAATTATTAAACTACTATAGCTATTATTTGTACCGAAAATTTGTAAAATACTTAATGGGAATGGAACTATCTAGATCTGTAATTACCATGGTAATAAAAGTATTAACGGTTTCCATTCATATATAACGGAGATATATATAAAAAAAGCAAAATGAGCAATGTATCCATCAAATACTATAATTCCAAAGAGAAAAAATTTACAAATTTGTGTGAGAAACAAAAAACATTTTTCTTGAGATAAAATTAAAAAAATAATTTTTTTTTTTTTAAATTTTACAATATCTATTATATATAACATAAAAAGTATCAGAAGTACTTTATAAAATCAATTTGATTTGTTTCCCTATAATATATCTTTTAGTAAATGGTATAAAGATTAACAAAACTTCCCTTTGGATGCTAAAAAACGATCAACATTAAGAGAAGGCATTCGAACTAAAATAAAACAAAATTATTGAAAACATAACACATTAATGTACTCTTTTATTTAAAAACTCAAAAGTGTGACCAAGGCGATATCAAATAAGAAACTTACTTTGAGATTGTTTTTTTTGTGTAAATAGGTTTTGTGTAAAGGTTTCAAGATTTTTTGTTGCAAGTTTCGATTATAAACTCTTTTCAAAAAAAGCACACTAAAAATAATCAAAAAAAGATAAACCCTTACAGTTTAATATAAAAATTGAATGCTTGGCTTTTAGTGAATGATTATATATAGTCAGTTTCAGTATGAAACAACCCTATAATCATTTTTAACGATAGACACCGACGTGAAGGTAAGCCAAGTCGTCTATCAACACAAAACATCACAACAGTAACATCACAAACATCAATAACAAATAGCACAAAATCTTACAGTAAAGACTCAATAACTTAAACCACCAAAGGATCCAGCAATTAGCTTATTAGAAAATATTTCAGTTAGTGGTAGTATGATCCATAAACAATCGCTCAACTGGAATTTTAAAATTAGTTTGATTTATTCAAGTTGATTTATTGAGTTATCCAGACTTTATTGTAAATACTTTATTTACTAACAGCATAACATACTTGCAAGTACACATTTTGTGATTACAAACAGATTTTATTATGTGTTTCATGTCAGTACGCCGCTTGGCTAGCAAGGACAACACTCTTGCCATAAACAAAGCCAAGTCACATTATTCAAAGTACACCGCTTGGCTAGCAAGGACAACACTCTTGCCATAAACAAAGCCAAGTCACACCACTTTGAAACCATGAAAACAACATAATAACAACTCACAAACTATAAACAGATAACATAACAAAAAATACACTTCATATGTAACAGCCATTTACACATTAATTACACATAAATACTTACAAAATATAACATACTTATAAGTACACATTTTGTGATTACAAACAGATTTTATTATGTGTTTCATGTCTGTACATCACTTGGCTAGCAAGGACAACACTCTTGCCATAAACAAAGCCAAGCCACATTATTCAAAGTACACCGCTTGGCTAGCAAGGACAACACTCTTGCCATAAACAAAGCCAAGTCACACCACTTTGAAACCATGAAAACAACATAATAACAACTCACAAACTATAAACAGATAACATAAAAAATACACTTCACATATAACAGTCATTTACACATTAGTTACACATAAACACTTACAAAATATAACCTTAACACATATTTAAACACATAATAAATATCACACATTACTGCATCAAGCAACACACAAAAATACTTTAAATTACAGTTAAAATATTTATAAGAAATGAGGAGTTTAATTGTAAAAAATTAATTATTTATAGATTTAGTACATTGGTAAATACAACATTGTTTGTGTAGCATTTGTTAAATGACATACCTTGTAATGAATGCTCATCAATTTTAAAAAATAAGGTATTAAACGATCTTGTTCTTGAACATGCAACATAGAGTTGACCATGTGAAAAGCAAGGGTTTTTGAGATAAATACCAACTTTGTCAAAAGTTTGACCTTGACTTTTATTTATGGTCATTGAGTATGCTAATCTTACAGGAAATTGACGACGCTTAAGAGTAAAAGGTAAATTTGAATCAGATTGTGTTAACTGAACCCGAGGGACAAATACCCTCTTGCCAACTGAAACACCTGTTAGAACTTGCCCATCAATGTAATTATTTTGTAGAGCACGCACTATCAATCGGGTACCATTGCAAAGTCCAGCTTTTAGATCTAAATTTCGAAGTAACATTATAACAGCACCAATTTTTAGCTTTAGGCAATGAACAGGCATTCCTGATGGAGTAAGACTGTTTAAAAACTCAACAGGAAAATTATTGATTTCGTTAAGATCATCTGTTTCAATAGTATCAGCACTTAAATAAACCTTAACGTCACCTGGTAAACGGTCCAAAACTTCTTCATTTATTGCTAAAGAATCAACATTATTGGGTGTCAAAATGGCACGTTTAGCATAATCATCTTCTTCTGCAACTCCAAAAATCTTGTCTACTAAAGATTCATTTTCTCCAAGCAAGCATTGCTCAGGAATCTCAATGCACCCGCAAAAGGAACCATCTGCTTTTAAAGGTAATGTTCCACTACCAAGTTTTAAAAGCCATTGAGAGAATTCCTCTTCTTCGGCCTGAACCCTCATATTTTCTGTTAATGAAAATCGCTGAACATATTGCCAATGTTGAGAACATTTTATACAGGCTTCAACAATATCAGCTGGTTGCCCTCTCTTTACAACCGGAAGTATTTGCCTAAAATCCCCACCCATAAGAATAACTTTACCACCGAAAGGAAACTTGTTATTGCAAACGTCTTGAAGTAACTTATCAATGGCATTTAAAGCATGTTTAGGTATCATGGATGCCTCATCTAGTAAATAAAGGCTAACTTGCCTCAAGAATTTTCCGTGTATAGAATTTGGAGTTACATTGCATGTGCTATTTTCCAAAATCGGCACAGGAAGTTTGAACAAACCATGAAGTGTACATCCTTTTTTTAAAAGAGTTGCAGCTATTCCTGTCCATGCAGCTGTTGCAGTTATAATATGTCTACTGCTGGTTTCAGCGATTAAATAATTGTATGTAAATGTTTTACCACAACCTGCAGGGCCATCCATAAAAAACAATCTAGACTGCTTGTTTTCATTGTTAGGTTGCTCACTAAGAGCAGAAAGGATAGCATCAGCAATTTGACGCTGATTATCATATAACAATGGTCTAACCCTATTTGCTTCATCAATTAAAACCTGAACATCTTCCTCTTCATTTTGTGGGACATAATCTAAAAACTCATCTAAAGTAGGAAGATTAACATCAGCTAAAGTCTTACCATTCTGATTAATTATAGATTCAATTTGACGCAAAGCTGCCTGCTCAGCAATTATTGGTGGCATGGAATGGTGAATGTAATCCTCCATCATAAAATCTTTAAAGGCATTCCAAAGATTTAATGGATCATCAGGTTCACAGAAAGTCAAAATAATGGAAAACAACTGTCTAATTTGATTTGGCAACCGAGTTGCAGCAGCCTCAGTTAATGTATTTCTCCATTCAGCGTCGTCTTGTAACAGACCTAATTGAGAACATGCTTCTCGGAATGTATTAAAAACTGTACCATTAACAGTACGCAAATCTTCAAAAGAAACTGCACCTCTAACATGCAAAAGTAACATTCTAAGATAAAATATTTCACCTATTGGACTCACTTTATACATCCTAACAATCACCTTATTGCTACCTCTTTGCCTAACTTTCCATTTACAATGTTTGCTATCAAAAACAAAGTGGTAAGGAATTTCAACATATGGATAGTGTCGGGCTTGTTCATTTTCAACATTTAATTTAAACCATGCAGTTAGGTGAGTGTCACGCTGTGCTGCACGGTCTAAAGCTGCCTGTTCTTCGCCTTCTACAAAATATATCATCTGATTATCTGGCAGATGAACCTGAAGTCGAATGATGTTATGTGACATATCACTTAAAGAATACTCAAATATTCGCCACAATGCTTCTGGAGCTGAGACATAGCGACAATTTAAAAACGTGTTTATTTCATCATGGTTAACTTGCTCATTTATCACCACATTGGCACAGTCATGCCCTTTGTAAATGTGCTTATATAAATACTTAACTGACTTTATGGTCATGCAGGCTTCAACATTTATGTGTGCTTGATATTTTTTAGAAAGCCATGGGTTATAAGGTACAACCCAACGGTTGTCAACTTGATTACCTTTTATATTTACAATTCTTCCATTATCGACGCGCCTATAGCGTGGATAACCATTAAAAATTGCAACAGTGTGGGGATTAAATTCCTTAGGAAATTTTTTTGTGCATTTACCATCTTTCATGCAGGGAGAATTGGGATTTAAAATTCCACATGGTCCATGTATCATGCATGATTTTATAATTTCAAAAAGTTCAGGATCAACAGCTGGGTCTGGGATTTCTGCTGATATCAAACTATCAATATCTTCTGCTGTTTCTAGCTTATCAGCATTTACAAAGTGCAATAAAATATGTACATGTGGCAAACCACGCTTTTGAAACTCAATAACCTGCACATGACTTACAACTTTGCCTAAGACTCCATGCTTAAAAATATCCTCTAAGAAAAATTTAAGTTTCATTTTAAATACCCGACAAACTAAATCAGGTC